GCCTCAGCCTGCCTCAGCCTCAGCCTCAGCCTCAGCCTGCCTCAGCCTCAGCCTCAGCCTGCCTCAGCCACAGCCTGCCTCAGCCTCAGCCTCAGCCTGCTTCAGCCTCAGCCTCAGTCTGCCTTCAGCCTCGGCCTCAGCCTCAGCCTGCCTCAGCCTCAGCCTGCATCAGCCTCAGCCTCAGCCTCAGCCTGCCTCAGCATCAGCCTGCTTCAGCCTCAGCCTCAGCCTACCTCAGCCTCAGCCTCAGTCTGCTTCAGCCTCAGCCTCAGTCTGCCGTCAGCCTCGGCCTCAGCCTCAGCCTGCCTCAGCCTCAGCCTGCCTCAGTCTCAGCCTCAGCCTGCCTCAGCATTCAAAATGTGGCCCGGGAGTGGAGTTCTGGGAACTCGAAGATCACGAAGTGGCCTGCAGTTGGCTCCGGGCATTCAAAATCATGCCCAGGAATGGAAAACTGGGAACTCGTTACAGCTTGCTCCGGGCATTCAAAATCATGCCCAAAAATGGACTTCTGGGAACTCGAAGACCACGAAATGGCCTACAGTTGGCTCTGGGTATGCAAAAAATGTGGCCCGGGAGTGGTGTTCTGGGAACTCGAAGACCACGAAGTGGCCAACAGTTGGCTCCGGGTATTCAAAATGTGGCCCAGGAGTGGAATTCTGGGAACTCGAAGACCACGAAGTGGCCTACAGTTGGCCATTCAAAATCATGCCCAGGAATGGAGTTCTGGGACCTCGAAGACCACGAAGTGCGTTACTGTTGGCGAAAAAAGAAACCCGGCACCCGTCCGGACACCGCCCAGGCCCCCCTGGGGAGTCATGATGCTCTCTTTTGGCCCAACTAAAAACCTATCAGTCTTCGCTGTTAGGTAAAAATCCAAGCCAATAGATACACATATGGGGATCACCGCGTCGAGTAAGTTCTGTTTTGAGCCGAGCACGCTTTGAGCCTAGCGTAGCCTTGGAGGAGGGAAAGAGAGAACGAGAGGGGCAGATGGGATCGAGAGCTCCCGGAGGGGGGGGGATGTGCCCATCCGAGGGAACGGTGCACCCCCCCCCTCAGTAGTGGCGACGAGGATCAAGCTGCTTAGGGACGCAGGAAGACCCCCCGCCCCCTATCCCCCCCCGCGACCTGAATGGACCACCCAGGCCTGCGGAGGACGTCATAAAGGGTCGGGTACCCCGTACATCGATGAAAGAAGAAAAGGGAAGGGAGGAAGGAGTAAGGAGCCTCCCTCCTCCTGCTCCTCCTGCTCCTGCGCGGGTGGCGCACTCGTGCCACCTCTGCCACGTGCGAGACAACTCTCAATACACAAGGTCAGTCAACTCTGAGGCACGCTACGCACTGCTAAGAATCGGCTACGCAACGTAACCACTGGAATAATCATATACATGTAACCGTATACCTCGCCGCCAACCGAAAAGAAACATCGAATCCATGAAGGCTGATGGGAAGGCATGTGCTCAAACGGCATACCAAAGTACCGCATGCTTTGCAAGCCGACGAAAGAGAGAACAAGACAGCAAGCGGGTAGCAGGGGATAAGACGGGGACATCGGGCAAGCAAAATGTGGTACAGGAGTGGTGTTCTGGGAACACGAAGAACACGAAGTGGCCTACAGTTGGCTCCGGGTATTCAAAATGTGGCCCGGGAATGGTGTTCTGGGAACACGAAGAGCACGACGTGGCCTACAGTTGGCTCCGGGCATTCAAAATGTGGCCCGGGAATGGTGTTCTGGGAACACGAAGAACACGAAATGGCCTAGAGTTGGCTCCGGGCATTCAAAATGTGGCCCAGGAATGGTGTTCTGGGAATTCGAAGGCCACGAAGTGGCCTACAGTTGGGAGCCATTCAAAATCATGCCCAGGAATGGAGTTCTGGGACCTCGAAGACCACGAAGTGTGTAACTGTTTGTTTAAATCGACTTCCGCGGCTTCTCCCCGGATCCTGCCCGGACCCCCCTGGGGCGTCAGGATGCTCTCTTTTGACCCCACTAGAAACCTATCAGTCTTCGCTGTTAGGTAATAATGCGAATGACAAGTCGATAGACATAAAAAGAAGAGGAGAGGGACGGGCACAAGGGAGGAGGAGGAGCAGGAGGAGGAGAAGGAAGAGGAAGGGGAAGATGAGGAAGAGCAAGAGGAGGAGGAGGAGGAATAGGGAGAAGAGGAAACGGAAGTGGAGGAAGAGGAGGGAGAGGAAGAGGAGGAGGGGGAGGAGGAGGAGGAGGAACAACGACTAGTAGCAATAGCGATCGCAATAACACAAATAATGCGAATGACAAGTCGATAGACATAACAAGAAGAGGAGAGGGACGGGACAAGGGAGGAGGAGGAGGAGGAGCAGGAGGAGGAGGAGGAAGAGGAAGAGGAAGACGAGGAAAAACATGAGGAGGATGTGGAGGAAGAGGAAGAAGAGGAAACGGAAGTGGAGGAACAGGAGGGTGACGAGGAGGAGGAGGAGGAACGAATCGTAGCAATAGCGATCGCAATAACAACAATCATGCGAATGACAAGTCGATGGACATAAAAAGAAAGAAGAGGAGAGGGACGGGACGAGGGAGGAGGATGAGGAGCAGCAGGAGGAGGAGGAAGAGGAAAACGAGGAAGAGCAGGAGGACGAGGAAAAAGAGGAAGACGAGGAAGAGCAGGAGGAGGAGGAGGAAAAAGAGGAAGAAGAGGAAAAGGAAGTGGAGGAAGAGGAGGGAGAGGATGATGATGAGGAGGAGGAGGAGAAGGAGGAGGAGACAAGGAGGGTGAGGAGGAGGAGGTGGAGGGTGAGGAGGCGGAGGAGGCTGGATCCTCCAGCCATGCGCACACGATGGGGACGGCGAGGTCGGCGTGCTCCACAAGCAGCTCGCAGCCGCGCGGATCGGGCGGCACGAGGTGGTCTGCGTCCACCGCGACGACCATGCGCTCCACGCCCTCCAGGGGCGTCCTGCAGCCGCAGCGCAGGAGCAGCCTGCAATTTGCCGCGGCGCGCCCGCACTGAGGTTGCTCCCGTGACCCGCTGAGCAGAGGAGGAAAAGCAGGAGGAGGAGGAGGAGGAGGAGGAGGAGGAGGAGGAGGAGGAGGAGGAGGAGGAGGAGAGAGGAGGAGGAGGAGGAGGCTCGGAGGAGAGGAAGAGGAGGAGGGAGGAGGAGGAGGAGAGAAGAAAGCCCAGCGCACAGAAGGAGAGGAGGAGAAGGAGGAGGAGAGAGGAGGGAGGAGGAGGAGGAGGAGAAGGTGGAGGAGAGGGAGGAGGAGGAGAGGAGGAGGAGAGAGGAGGAGGAGGAGGAGGAGGAGGAGGAGGAGACACTCTTACATTCTTCCTTCCTGGCGTGCTGCCTCTTCGTCCCCCCCCCTCCTTCGCCCCTCTGGCCTCTTTTCTAGGGCGGAGTGGGGCCCTTGGGAAGTGGACTGCTGCGAGAGAGGATCACAGGATCACAAGAGGAGGATTTTACAAAGGACTTTCCCAAACTTGCTGGGTCAGGGTAGGGCGGAGGTCTTCCGATAGTGCTTAGGACGGAAGAGATGACTTGAGTAGATTCCCATTCTGCACGCGTGATGAGCCCCTTAGAAGGGAAGGAGGAGGAGGACGAGGAGGAGGAGGAGGATGAGGAGGAGGCGGAAGAGGAGAAGGAGGAGGAGGAGGAGGAACATGAGGAGAAGGAGGAGGAGGACTAGGGACGGTGGCCTGCCTCCCAGGAGGCAGGTCTGAGAGGGAGGAATGTGAGGAGGAGTTGAGTAGGGCTGGGGGGTAAGGTCTGCACAAGACCCCAAGCGGACGTCAAGGGGCGCAACAAAGCTGTTCGCTCAAGCTGAAACTGATGCACCACACCCGGCGTCAAGCCAAAACTTTTGGACATAAACGAATGGTTGGATGTTGCACGTGTTCGTCGGCTTAACTGGCGAGGCGCTTGACCACCTTAACGTCCTTTTTTGGTGGTCATGCAGAGGAAGGCGCTCTCTGACCCTCGGCCCTACTCAAAGGGGGAGGGATGGAGGGAGAGAGGGAAGGCGGGAGGAGGAGGAGGAGGAGGAAAAGGAGGCGGAGGAGGAGGAGGAGGAGGAGGAGGAGGGGAGGAGGAGGAGGAGGAGGATACGGCGGGCTTCCGCCGTGGCGGTGTCGGCGATGCTTTCTGACATCAGGTGGGTAATTAAACCTTGAAGGGTCCTGGCTTTCCCGTAGCGCAGCTTGTTCGATACCAGCCTGATCCTCGTCCACCTCCTCCTCGCGGAGGAGGAGGAGGAGGAGGAGGAGGTGGACGAGGATGAGGAGGAGGAGGACGACGAGGAGGATGAGGAAGAGGATGCAGGAGGAGGAGGAGGAGCAGCAGGAGGACAACGACGAATAAAAGGATGCATCAGATAATGAGGTGGCGGGGAGGAGGGGGGGGGGGAGGGGGAGGGGAGGGTGAGGGAGAGGGGGAGGGGAAGGGAAGAGGAGAGAGGAGGAGGAGGGGAGGAGGAGGAGGAGGGAAAAGAGGAGGAGGGAAAAGAGGAGGGGGGGAGGGAGGAGGAGGGAGGAGGAGGAGGAGGAGGAGGAGGAGGAGGAGGAGGAGGCGGAGGAAGAGGAGGAGGAGCACTGGGTTTCTATCTCGGCCCCGAGCCTGCTCACAGCGGCCACCTCTGCGCTGCAGCCGGCGCCGCCCCGGGTCCAGCAGGCGGTGGTCACCTCCGCGCGGAGCAGGCCGTCTCGCCCGCTCCGGTGGAGCAGCAGGCAGACCTCCAGGTCCGGTAGCAGGGCGAGGAGATGGAGGAGGAGGAGGAGGAGGCGAAGGAGGAGGCGAAGAAGGAGGAGAAGGAGGAGGAGGAGGAGGAGGACGAGGAGGAGGAGGAGGACGAGGAGGACGGAGAAGAGGAGGAGGACGAGGAGGGGGAGGACGAGAAGGAGGAGGAGGAGGAGGAGGAGGAAGGAGGAAAGGTGGAGTGGAGAGGGGGAGGGAGGGGAGGAGGGGAACGAGGCGGAGGAGAGGAGGAGGAGGATACTGAGGAGGAGGAGGAGGAAGAGGGGAACACGGAGGAGGAAAGGAGGGTGATAACGAGGACGAGGGGTGCGGGTGAGGCGGAGGAGTCCGTCGCTCCATGCGCCAGCGGCCACCCGAACGCGAGCCATGATCACGCGGCCCAAGCCCACGCCGACCACTCGCTCGGCGTTGACCCCAGGTGCCTTCCCGGTCGGGGTCGTGGCGGGGAGGGCGCGCAAGCGCAGCGGAAAGTGGATGTGAAAACTCTGCGCACTCTTGTGAGCAAAACTGTTGCACGGGTTGATCGAGGTGCATCCAGTGCACTTCTCGCGCAGAAGCTCGCAACCTCTTCTGGCTCGCAGTGATGATATCACGGCGATGCAGATCCACGGGGTGGCGGCGGGGCCAAGGCATGGGAATCGGCTAAGAGCAGAGGGAGGAGGGTGATAACTATACACAGAATATCGGGCCACACGCCAGAGAGCCACGCATCATTTGTCGCGTGGCATGGGCCTACATCCACGCATGCAACTAGGGCAGGGTCATTTTGCCACGATGCATGACAGGTGGCGCTATTCCAGGCTCCTCTGAAGAATCGAGGAACCCAAGCGTTCACTATTTGAGGAATCGACCATATTGGTGTCTCATTTGAGCTTGAGCAGAAGCTCATCCGTCCAAGCTTCGGGTTGCTCTCGCTTCGAAATTGCTATCCGGCCAACCTGGCGGGATCCAGCGTTGCCCTTGTCTCCGTTGTGTCTCACATAGTTTCCGCCACCATGCTTGTAGCGCGTACTGTGCCTCCGGCCTTCTTTTTCTCCGAGCAGTGCTGACACTAGGGAGGTCTTACTTGAGCTGTACAAATTTTGAACAGGGACCGACCGTCCCGGCATTCCTATAGGCCTACCACGAAATATTCTTAGAATCCCAAGCTGTTCTAAGAACAAATGCAATGTTCTTAGAAATAAATCGATGTGTTACAACAAGACAGTCCCAGCCAACAATGTTCTAAGAACATGTCGTGGAAACCGCAAAAGGCTCTTAGAACATTGTTTGGTAGGCCTATAGGCACGCCAGGACGCTTCGCCACTGCTTGAAAATTTGTGGGTGCTCCCAATTTTCGCCCGGTGCCCACCTCGTGCCCGCTGCGTGCGCTGGCTGTCTTTCGGAGACTCACCCTGTGCCCGCCTGGCCCCGCCTCTTGTCCACCCTGTGCGCCAGTTGGGTGTTCTCGGTGCGCTGGCTGGGGGTTGCGGGTTGTCGCCCAGTGCCCAGCCTTGCTGCCCCGTGCCGCGCCTTGCGCTGATTGGCTTGCAGCAGGAAGATTGCACGAAATAGCCTGCACCACATAGCTTGTCCCGCATACATTGCACCCCGTCGGCTGTAGCAACTAGTTTGCCTATCTCGTTTGTATTCCATCAATTGTAAGACCACGTCGGTGTTTCATCACAAATGTTGTAAGTTTTCTACCCGCGGGCATTTGCTGCAATCGTACTTTAAAGACACACATATAATGTTTAAACAATCTCGTCCAGAACCCGCGTGCTCATCTCACCACGCGGTGCATCCGCGTTGATCCAGCATGCGCCAATACACGATTCCAGGTCAGACAATACCATGCGGGCCACACGCACGCGCCGCCACCCGCGCGTGTCGAGCTCAGTTCAAAACCACTCATTCCCGAAACATGTCACAATAAGCATTTTACAGTAGATGTCAAAGGTAAATGAAGAACAAATTACGCGATATGTCTTTTCAACAGAGGACCCGCCGAGTGGATTTAATTTCCGCGCGCTCGCCCTTCTTCACCATCACCAGCGCCGCCGCATCACCGCCGATGTCGTCATCGTCGACCGCCGCCAGTGCCGCCATCATCACTCAGTCACCTTCATCGCAGACGCATGGACAGCATCATCGTCAGTGTCGTCACCACCACCGGCGTCGTCATTGGCGTGGCCCTCGTCATCATCATCGCCACCTTTTATCGCTGCTGCCATCATCGTTGCCCCCGTTGCCGTCATCATGATGCCGCGCCCGCTCGAACCACCAACCCGCGCTGAAGTACCCGCGCGCCAACGCGGCCTTTGAGACGCGCTGGGAAGCCACGGCCGGTAAGCACAATCGCAGCCGCGTCGGCTGCACCAAACCAGCCGGGTGCTCTGCGCGCGAGCCTGCGCGCGCCAGCGCAGACGCAGAGATGCGCCAGCCACTGCCAAGTAAGTCACCGCAATCGCGGATAAGAGGGTGGGCTGATTATGCGAGCAAGTGAATTGACGAGTTGAAGATCTGCAAAAGTGGAGTGCGCCGTATAGATTGCACCACGTAGCCTGTTACCCATAACATGTACGGCATCGATTGCGTCACTTGGGTTGCACGATTTGGATTGCACCTTGTAGGCTGCAACACTGATATTGCACGAAACAGCACGGTCATACATCCTGCATCGCACTGACTGCACGCCTCGATTAAACCACGTAGCTTGCACCCATGCGTTGCGTCCCATTCATTGCAGGGTGGGTGGGATACGAGCGTCGCGAGCGCGCACTGACGCACCCCACCCAACAATCCAGTTGGGGCGGGCGTGACGCGCGCGCGTTCCTTCTCAGCGCGCACACGCACGCGCGCACTCTCTCTATCTCTCTCTCCCTCTCCCTCTCTCTTTGTTCTCTCTCTTCCTCCCTCCCTCCCCCCTCTTTCTCTGTCTGTATATGCGGAGAGCTAGCTTAGCAGCTGGGCGAAAACGCTCGAAAGCGCCCCGGATCGTCGATGTCTGGGTGGAGAAGGTGGGCAAGGATGCGAGTCGTGTGCAAAGAGCGAGGGGCTCGCTAGGCGCGAGCGGCGCCTTGGCTGCAGCATGGCGCCCGTCGCCCCCGCGCCCGCTTCCTTGCGATTCTTCGCTGCCTCCCAGCGAGTCCATAAGTACCAATTGGTGGTCACGGCCTCGTAAGGAGGGTCGTTCCCCCTTTTTGGTTTCCTCTGCGCTGCTGGTCGGGCTCGACTCGTCGTTTCCCGTGCCGTCGCCCAGTGAATCGCTCGGTCTGGAATTGCTCTGCCCTGTCGGTGTCCTTCCTGTTGCGCCAGCGGCTGCGACGCCTGACACCTCGGGTACATGCGCGGACTTGCCTCGTGCGTTCACTTCGTAGCTGTCGTCGCACACGCCCCTCGTACATGAAAAAGAGCCCCTGCTCGGCACATGCACCCTGAAAGCTGCCAGTAATGGGGCCGATCCTCGGATTCTTGGTTCCTCCTCTGTGCTGTGCTGGTGGCTGGTGGTGGTTGCGTGGGCGGGTGAAACTGGGCTGTCTCGTCTAGGTCAGGAGTGGGCGCCGCCTCTAAGTCTCCACCCCTCTTCGTGCTAAATTTGTTGACGTCCCCCCAAAACCGGAATCGTCCGTCGCGTCGTCCCCTTCCGCCGGTATTGGCACGCGTGAATGGTTTTCATCTGCTGGGAGAGCGAAGCGTCGCCTTCTCCTGGTGCGGTCGGATGTCGTGCTGCTCGCCCTAGGTCTTGTCGTTGTCGCGTCTCCTCTATTGCGGGGCCAGGTGCTCTGTGTTTGGGTCCCACCGAATGTGCCTATGCAGAGGCACCCCTGCGCTTGTCCTGGCGTCATTGGCTCGTCTGATGCTGGCTGCATCGCGGGGCCCGCTCCCCATGGCAAAGCCGTTGGGGCGCGGGCTCCGACGGGGGCCCTCTTGTCGCCCTGTCCGCGTTCTGGCGATGAGACCATGAGGTGCGATGCTTCGTGGGGGTTCTCGTACTTAGGCGATGGGCTCCCCAGGTCCGTCGGTGCTTCTGGTGAGCAGGCCCTCGAAGGCGATCTGGGGGTCAGTTGCTCCGCTGGCATGGATCCCCTTGCCCCGCTCGTCGATCGGTGCCCAGAGAGTCTGGGGTCTGGGGCATGGGATGGGCGTCGGTGGGAATGCGTCGCCTGGCTGGTGCTTTGGCGCCGGAGCGTCGTCGAGGATGCGTCGGCGTTGCCGCGCCGTCCCGTTCGGTGCCCTTCGTGGTTTTGGGGGTCGAGGGGTCGTCTCGTTCTGGCCAGCGCACACGTGATAGAGCATGTCGGCTTTTTCAGTGCCTTCTTGAGCTCCTGCTCCCTCGACGTTGCCTCCCGGTACTCGTTGTGGTTGATACTGGCTCTGATGGTTTCCCTCTGTGTCCTCCTTCTTGCGGGCTTCACTTCTCTCCATCGTTGCCAGTGCCCTCTCGCTCGGTCGATCTCAAACTTGGCTGCGGCAAGTGCCTGCTGGTCGTGGCGTTCTTGGTACTCTGCCGATTCCTGGAGGCGCAGCATGTCGGTGCTCTCATCCCTTGCGGCAGTATCGCGCGAGCGCTCCTCGCGGGTTCTGTGTCCATGCAGTGCCTATTGCGCATATCGTGAGCTACTGCCAGTGCCTGCTTCCGCCTCTATACCTCCACGTTCTCATGTGCAGCGGCCTCCTTGGCTGCCTTGTACACCGCCCTGGCCTCGCTGGTGATGAGCTGCTCTATGCTGGAGTCGGACGACCTGATCCCTCTCGAAGACCTCGGCTCCAGATGATCAGTGTTGTGCCTATTGCTGCTTGCTGTGTTGGAGGTGCGTGTGTATGTAGATATCTTGCTCGAGGTAATCGAGGTCGTTCTTGTGGTCCTTCTTGTCACTCTTTCTGATGGTCCCTGTCGTGGTCTGTCTTTTCGTACCTTGATACGGCGTTTTGCAACTCCAGCCGGAGGTTGGTGATGGTGTGCTCGTCCTTCTGGATCTTCGTCTGGCCGACGGCGACGCAGTGCTCCACGATGTAGTTCCTCTATCACAATGCCTCATGGAGCTCGACGGTGATGTGCTTGCCTTTCTGCTCTATGTTGGACTTGTGCTTGTTTGATGTGTCGAGTTCGGTCCTGAGCGTCTCTTCCCTTCTGCTTGACTCCAGGTTAATTCTGGCGCTTTGTTCCTCGTACCTCAACTGTTTGAAATGTTGGTTTCCTGCCCTCTCGCGGCACTCGTTGGCAACGTGGATATTGTTGTTGTTGTTGGTCTTGAGCCCTTGACGGTCTCTAGTGGCTGTTGCCGTTCGTCGTTGGGGGTGTCTACATCATGGCGGCGGTTGTTGTTGTTTTCTTTCTTGGCTATGCTAGTGGCTGTTGCCGTCGGCCGTCGAGGGTGTCTATATGCTGGCGGCGCTTGCTTCTGTTTTCTTTGTCGCTCTCGCGCTTGCCCTGCATGCTGTCGTTTTTTTGTGCTGTGGGCACCTTTTGCCTCATCCCTGTAGTGTGCCGACGCTTGCTCTTCTCGCCGGATCTTCTTGCTGAGGATATCGTGACTGTCTGTGGCCGTGCCACTTGCAAATCCCGGCGATGGTATAACGACGTCGGCGGTGGACAAACCTCCCTTTAGCAAACCACCCTTTCATGAAAACGGCCTAGGACCGACACCGACGGACCTGGACCCGCAGAAATGACGGCCGCAACGCCCTCTCGCGAACCGGAGGCGGTCTATCGAGCTCCGACGACGTGTCCGTTGTGTCGTCGACCTGGATGTGGTGTGGCGCTCCCCTGTCTGGTGCTGCTTCGCCTGCCTGTGGCCCTCGTGCCCGCCGTCCGCTCCGGACTCCGCGTCTTAACACCCCGGTCGTGTGGTTCTCTATTGGTGTGTGCAGCCGCCGGGCTTGCGGCTGATCTCGGCGACGCAGTCGTCAAGCTGTGCGAAGTGCTCCTGCGCACTGTTCTCCGCGTCCTCGACTGTCCTCCTGCATTCATCCAGGTCCTCGATCTGGTCTCTGGTGGGGAGCCGGTTCTGGATCGTGGCTTCTGTGGGCGCAATCGTGCTGAGGGGGTCCTCAATGGGGAACGAGCGCGTAGGCTTTGAGCAGTTGGAGTTTGTTGCTCCTCCATGTAGCACATGCCAGTGAGGATTTTGGCGGTTCCTCCCATTGGGAGCGGTTGGTCGCGACCTTCTCCTCATGTGTAAAACGTCCGAGACGGTGGTATCGATGATGGCGTTATGCTACATGGCCGCTTTCTCATTGTCGTTCTGGCGGTCCTCTTCCTTCTCGTGCTTGGTGATATGGCTCTTGTCCTTCTGGGTGCTTCCCTTGTCGTTCTTCCAGTTCCAGTAGGGGTTGTCCTCCCACCACCTGGCAAGGCCTGCGCCGACTGCTGGTTTGGGTCACATTACTGACTTTGATGACGGTTGTGATCGTTGTGGGCGTGGTTGCCACTTGGGCTTGTATTTCGGCGCCATCGTGGGAGTTTGTGGTGGATGTCGCAGTGGCTGTCGCGCACTAAGATGTGTGTGAAATAGTTCTAGTGCTTTGTGAAGCCGTAGTAGATAGCGGGCGCCAGCACGTTTACGTCGAAGTCGCCTGTGCCAAGCAGGTGATCTCGATCTTGATCTCACTGTGGGTGTCGGCGTGGCACCGGGCTGGGGACGAGAACACAAGTTCTAGTGGAAGTTGTAGGCGTATATCACGAGCCTGGAATGGCTGCGCTTGGCCGCCGCCGCAAAAACCTGAAGGCCTGTCCCTCGGGAGTGGCGGGTTCGGGCGCACGCGGCTCCCCCATCCCCCTCCTCCCGCGCTGACCCCAAACCCCCGACGTAATGATTTTTCCGCAACGTCGACCCTCAGAGGCCTCGACCCATTCCCCGGGACCGGTGTTTCATCCCGACTCGTTTTCTGACGCTCCCGAGGCCCGGTAGGGCCCTTGGAAGCCGAAACTAGCGAAAAACCTCCCGCCACGATTTTTTCATTGCCCGAGAGGGTCTGGGACTGGGACAGGGGGGGGGGCCGGCGGAACGGCGAGGAGCAACGGACCGTCCGGCGCCCGCCAGCGTCGTTGGCGGCCAGCTGCTTGCGGCCCACCGCGAACGCCAGGGCGGCCAGCTGGTCGTCGGAGGGCGTGGGCCCCGCGCCGAGCACCACGCGGTCCTGGGAAGGGCCGCGGCGGGGAGGGCGGCGGCGAGGACGGCGAGGGGAGGAGGAGCGGCAGCGGCAGGTGGAGGAGCGGGGGGGCAAGGAGGCGGGGGAGGGCGGCCAGGTGAGGGGGCGAGGGCCGAGGAGGGCGGGAGGGAGCGAGGACGGGGGGGAGGAGCTGGGAGAAGGCGGGGGGTCAGGGGCGGAGGAGGAGCAGGAGGAGGACGAGGAGGAGGAGGAGGAGCAGGAGGAGGAGGAGGAGGAGGAGGAGGAGGAGGAGGAGGAGGAGGAGGAGCAGGAGGAGGAGGGGGAGGAAGGAAGCAGGAGCGGGGTGGAGGCATGGCGATGGAGGCCCAGCCGGCCCGCGCACGCCAGCCTTGGCCCGGGCCCCGTCGCGGGGCTCGGCGGGCACGGCCCTGCGGGCCGAGCCGGGGCAGGCCCGTTCACACACAACAAAGGGGCCCCAGGACACACAGATAAATACACACAAAAATAAAGCTATTCCCTGTATTTTCGCATATTTTCTCGGTTTCTGTCCTCCCCCCCACTTCCCATATTTTCGCATATTTTCCTGGGGATCGACGATTCATTGTGTCTGTGTGTTTCTTTCCCTCCTGAGTTCACCCGACCCTGGGCCGAAGGGGGGCCCGCCTGGCCGCCCGGGCCTGGCGATGACCGGCGGGGGCCCTGAGGGCCAGGCGCTGCACTTGTCTCCCAGACCTCCTCGAGTCAGGAAAAAATCACGACGGGAGGTTTTTCGCTATTTTCAGCCTCTGGGGGCCCTTACCGGGCCTCGGGAGCGTCAAAAAACGACTCGGGACGAAAAACCAGTCCCGGGGAAGGGGTCTGGACCTCTGGGGGTCGCGTCATGAAGAAATCATGACGTCGGGGGTCTGGGCTTGTTGCAGCAGCCACTGGCGGGCGCGAAGGACAACATCGAATCAGCTTTTCCGCCGTCGGGGGCTGCCTGGCCCTGGGCGGCCGGAGAGTTTGTACCCTGACGGTGGTACCGTCGGGGTAGAAACTATCCAGCCGCACAGGGCCAGGCGTCCCCGACGGCGGACAAAAATGATTGTATACCCTTCTTCGCCCGCTGAATCCAGCTCAAAATATGCTTCAACCGCCACCCTCGCAACGCGAATGCCGGCCACCACGAAAGCTTGCTGAAAGTACATGTGCACGAAATCAAGGCGGCAGGGCTCCAGCGTAGCGGTTGCACTTGCCATTGTTGCATCGCGGGCGTCTTCGCTGGGCTGTGGGCCCTGGGGCCCCTCACGGGCCGATCCGGCCCGAAACAAATGGCACAGGCATGTCAGGTCTGGGGCTCTGGTCGTGATTCTTCGCAAGATTCATGCTTTCTGCAACGGCAGATCCGAGGTGAAGGAGGAGGAGGAGGAGGAGGAAGAAGAGGAGGAGGAAGACGAGGAGGAGGAGGGGAGGAGGAGGAGGAGGAGGAGAGAGACCGGCGCACCGACCTCACAGGAGAAAGGGCCTCACCATGATCGACCAGTGTACTGCGGGAAAAAAGGCCCGACCGAATCTGAAGGAGCGGCATGCCAGTGCTCAGCGGCCACAGGCGGGAGCACGAACTCGCCACGACAATTTCTGACATGAGCACCCCGCCCGTCAAGTACCCGCCCCGCGTGGCGCAAGATCTTGGAAGTGTTTCTGCCACCTCTGTAGGCTCAAGCCGCGGAGCACCAAACAGCCCCAACAGGACAAAACATAATGTTGGCATACAATGCGTTTCAGTCCAACATCCACCCCAGCACACCACCTCTCCACCCTCCATCAAGATGCGCCCTCCCCCAAGACTCCTCACTTGCATGCGGGTGTACAGGGGGGTGGCACGATTTGTCCAGCCCACGGGTCGCAACGAAACTAGAACACGAGCTCGCGGCAACGTTCTTTTGCGGACGGGCTGGCACGCCCCGAGCTTGCGATCGCGGACGGGCCAGCACGCCCAAAGCATGCGATGGCGGATGGGCCGGCACGCCCGAACAGAAGCAGGCGTTTCAGATCCTGACCCCCAAACTCCCCACCAGCCCCACATCGAGCCACCTTCGATTCATACATCGGCGCTCTGGCGTGCCGTTGGAGCAGGCATCTGTGAGCAAAGGCGTAAGAGGCCAGGGTGCGCTTTTTCCCCTGCTTGGGCAGACAGTCCAGTTCGAATCTCGCGAGCTGGGAACAGCAACAACATGCGACCATCCTGCGGATGACCGCCGGGCGAGCACCGTCTGGGGAGGCATGGCCCTGCTCGGAGCCGTCCCCACACGACGGGCAGGCGAGGACTCGGAAGGCGCGGGGAAGGGCGGTAACATGCACGAGGTGTGGGGGCACTGTCAATCGTGGCACATCGGGCCCCGCGCCGAGCAACCGAAGTGGCAAGGACGAGGCTTCAGGACGTGCACTGGGCAGGATGTCCAGCGCAGCGCAAAGCGTCTTGCCCACGCACCGCTGATGGGCCAGAGACGTCTGCACGAGCTCTCGCCGCAGGGCTTGCCAGCGAAGCCCTACATCAGCAGGCGCCTCCGACGCCAGATCGACCCAGCACTTTCAAAAACGCTCGGCAGTAATGAAAGCGAAGGTGTCGGGGGTCATGGGCGACGACAGGAAGGGAGCAACAGCCCGCTGAAGCCTAGGACGCCGACCGTCGCGTGCAGCGTGGGCGACCGCCTCGCGGCCAGCCCTGTGGGCGGCGCGCAAGCAGGCGGTCGAGACCTGCCGACGAAAGGACATCGGGGCAGCAGCGAGCCACTGAACAGTGCACCTCTTCGGTGCTCTGCTGCTGCCAAAGGACGGGCGCAACGATCCACGGCACCATCGGGTGGGGGGGCCACGCAGATGGGCAGCTGCGACAGCGCATTCAGCCGAGGACGCCATATCCCGTCAATCGTGGTGGGCAAAAACGCCAGGCCGCGGCGGCGCCGTAGGTGACGATGGATGGAAGCCCTGCTCTTCCCCTAGAGAGGAGGGAGTGGAAATCGGCCAACTTCAATCAATCTAGGGTCAGTCAGCAGACCTGGTGCAGTGCAACATCTGGTATCGCAGGATGTTGCGATCGACGGCAAACAAGCTGAGCGAGACATGACAACACACGCAACGTCGACGTGACGTGCATCTATACATGTGTGTGTTTCGTGCATGGTGCGCTCTCGACCCGCGAATCAAAAGTGTGTATCGTGCATACTTACATAGATACATACATGCATACATACGTACGTACATACATACATCCATACATTCATGCATGCATACAAATATTCGCATACATACGTGCATGCATACACACATATACATACATACACACATACATACATACATACATACATACATACATACATACAGAGAGGACAGACAGACAGACAGACAGACAGACAGACAGACAGACAGACAGACAGACAGACAGACAGACAGACAGACAGACAGACAGACAGACATACATCCATACTTACTTACATACATACATACATACATACTTACATACATACATACACATATACACACATTGATTGCCATCGAAGCGCCAGCAGCAGCCTGTAGCTGAACGCGCGTCTGCCACTTCTGGGCAGCAGACCTTGCTTGAACTCGCAGCGTGTCCCGAGGGGCCTTTCCTAAGCGTTTCCCAATACGCGTGCCCAGAAGCTCTCCAGAAGGTCCTTCCGAAGCCCTCTGCAGGTCCTTCCAGAGTTCTTCGCCAGGCCCTTCCACGCCCTTCGGGCGCCCTGCTATCCGGGTTTTGAGCTTCACAAGTGTAAACCCAGAGCTGCTTGCAGGCGCCGGCAATCGCAGACGCAGGCCATTTCGGGGCCAGGGGGGCGAGAATGGCGCGCGCTGCGTCCTCGACCTGGGGCGAGCACGGCCCGCATGATGGTACAAGGCTCAGGTCGGGCATGTCCTCTTACAGGCGGCTTTTGGAGGAAAAATTAAAAAAGTAGTCGCCAAATAATCCGAAAAGGTAAAACATGGTCCCAACATCGTCCCCAGACTATTTTGGTGTCATTCTTGAATGTCTCTCCCGTAGAGGGACGTGCCCGACTTAACACAAGGCTGCTGTTCCTCCCCTGGAGCGCGAGAGATTGGCAAGCGAAGGCATGGCCCTGAAGGGCGCCAGAGCACTGCCGAGCAGGTGTGCCTCCATCAACAGCGCTTCAGGCGCATCAGCGCGCGCTGCTGCAGGGGAGCCTCTGGGAAGCGGCGCGCGGGGGTGACGAAGCGGGGCGTCGAACGCGAATGCACAGGAGGAGGAGGAGGAGGAGGAGGAGGAGGAGGAGGAGGAGGAGGAGGAGGAGGAGGAGGAGGAGAGATCCACTCAGCGGGCATCCCGGATCCCTGCAGGGCTCCGGGGCTGATGAGGCCAAGCGGATGCCTGATGGGGCCCCCATCTCGCGGACCCTGGTGGGAGCCCGCGCCAAGCGCGCACGACACTCATGGGACCCTGAGGGAGGCCATGGGCAAGAAGGGAGAGAAAAATAAAGGGAAATTAGGACACACAAATAAATACACACAAATAAAAATAGTCCCCATATTTTCCCATATTTTCTGTGTTTTTGTCTTCCCCCCCCAATTCCCATATTTTCCCATATTTTCGAAGGAATCGAGGATTAATTGTGTCTGTGTGTTTCTTTTCCTCCTGAATGGAACCCTGAGGGAGGCCATGGGCAAGAAGGGAGAGAAAAAGGAACACCTGGGAGAGGCTGGGGAATGCGGCCCGCACGTCGACAGATAAAAGCATCGGCCGGCGATCCGTGAGTTGAATTCTGAGACTCGGTGGGCTTCAGGGTCAATGGCGACGACACTGGTCGTGAGCTGGCGCCCAGGGACGAAATCCTGCTGAGTGGGGTCCGTGCGCTCCTTGACCAAGGGAGTCGGCGGTCGACTGGCAGCTGCTGCCGCCATCTTGCAACCCGCATGTGTCTAACTCTGGGGGCGGGCACAGCCTGCGCCCTGAAGATGATCAACGCCATCCGACACTCAGGACCTCTGGGGGAGGAAGCAGAGATCCGAGGAGGAAAAGCCAAGCGGAGCGTGGCCAGCCGAAAACACCTGTAACACGGCAGAGTGCCGTGTAGAGGAGAGAGAGCATCATGGCTAGGTCGAGCGTGTCCTCCTGCAAACGGATTCTGGACGAAGAATGAGAAATACGGAAAAAACGATTCAAACATATCCAAACACACTCAAAAAAAAATCCCCCGACTACTTTGACTATTTTTCCGTACTCCTCCCGTGGAGGGACATGCCCGACTTGGGTGGCCGCCCAAGCAGCACAGAGGGCAGCTGGCCTGGGCCGGGTGCCGCCGGGCCGGCGCGCTCCAGCGCGCGCCGCGGCGGACGTTCCGCGGGGGCGGGCAGACCCGAGGCGTCGAAGCGAGGGAGGTGCTCGCGCGGGTACAGTCGAAACCTATGGTAAGGACGGGCGGTAAGGAGACGCGAGGGCCTTGGACGCCGAGGTTGGCACTTCTGGGGCGGCGGACCGCCGCGACTATGAAGGGCTGGCCAGTGAAAGTCGCGAAGGACGGGCCGCAGAGGCAAGGACGCAATGGTACCAACCCTAGGGACACCCGTGCGTCCTTACTGTGGATTTTGACTGTATGCCTTGACCGCCTCCTCGAACACAGGTGATCCTGTGAAGATGGGCTTCCAGAGTTCCTCAAGAGCACGCGTCACCGCCGCAAGGGATCGAGCGATCTCAAGGCCGCGAGGGCCTTCGAGGCGAAACAGGATACTTTTCGAGATGAGATGGGGGCGAGTAGAGATCCATAATTGCGCTCGTCCTTGAAAGACGCCTTCTTATTTTTGCCTGGGAACTTCGGGTAGCCTGGACCCTGGCCATCGCCTGGCGCTTGTCGGCTCTCTCTTGGTGGAAGCAACGAGATCGAATCGCGAACGCCCAAGGGTCCTGCAGGGCGACCATGGCGTCATGGAACATCAAGTGCTCATTGCCCAAAGTCGTGGTTGCGACCAAACGTTCGGCAATAGCGACATTCTTCTGCCAGACCGCGAAGGAGATAGCCCGGGCGGTAATGAGACGACCCTGCCGCGCGAAATCGGAGATGTTGTCCTTGTGGCACTGCTGGGCATTGTCGCGGGTAAGCCGGGCGTCTTCCCCATCAGAAGCTCTGTAGCTCTCAATCGGCGTTCCATACCCATGAGCGAGACCGAGGACAAGTTGTAGAGCATCGTGTAGTTGTGCTGGTTGCCTGGCATCTTGACGATGAAAGGTTGGATGGCGCGCTCGTCGTCTGGCTTGATCGTGGCTTCATTGGGCCGGAGGACGACGAGAGCATGATCACTGAGATGAGCGTCGGAAAGCACAGCTGCCTCTCGGTGAATCTCGACGGATAGTTCGATGTGTAAAAGAAGAGTGTGCTCAGCGGTAGAGGCAAAGGCCCTGTCGATCGCGAAAGCCGTGCGCGTGGCCTTGGAGAACCGCGCCTACTGCCTAGTTGAGGAGACGGAGGGAGCCGAGGAGCAGGAGGAGAGAGAAGGGGGAGGAGGAGAGTAGGGGGAGGATGAGATGAGGGGGGGGGGGTAAGGGGGACAGGAGGGGGACGAGGCTCGAGGAGTGGCGTGGAGAGGAGGAGAGGGAGGAGAGGAGGAGGAGGAAGAGGAGGGGGAGGGGACGGAGGAGGAGGAGGAGGGGGAGGAGGAGGAGGAGGAGAAAGAGGAGGGGGTAGAGAGGCGCGCAGAGACTGCTGGCCCAAGGCCAAGCCGGCGGAAGACATGGCGCTCCCCACCGAGGGTTCCGCTCAGGCGGCTGCTCCGCTCCGCCGGTCTGAGAGGCATCGCTCCGCCACGGCATGGACCATGGCCTGCGATCTCAGCATCTCTGCAGTCGCTTCGACCAGCAGCATGTTGTCCCACCTGGGTTGGACGCGGTTTGCGTCTCCACTGGGGTAGACGGCGTGACGGCCTGGGGAAAACATGTCCGACCTGTTTTTCAGCGCTGCGGCCGTAAGGATGCCGCAGTATCTCCACAGCCTGCTTACCGAAGGCAGCCTCGCAACGACGGTACCGCCAGAACTCGAGGAACCTTCGGGGAAAGCCACGGTGCCCAGTTTGCCACCGACGTTGCCTTCATGGACGACACAGCGATCCTGGACACCGAAGCATGCAACCTGTTGCTGAAGGACAAGCTCACCGCGGCCTTGGACTGCATCATCTGCGCTAAGACCAAGCACGGAAAAAAAAACTACAAACGACGATCGTGGCGAAGCAAGCCGTGTGATCTGCACGATTCCCCCTGGGACCGTAGGCGACCCGACGAAAATGAGGAGGAGGAGCAGGAAGAGGAGGAGGAAGAGAAGGTGGAGGAGGGGGACGGGGAGGAGGATATGGAGGAGGAGGAAGGAGGAGGAGGAGGAGGAGGAGGAGAGGAGAGGAGGAGGAGGAGGAGGAGGAGAGGAGGGGAGGAGGGGAGGAGAAGGAGGATGGGGAAGAGGAGGAGGAGGAGGAGGAGGGAGGAGGGAGGAAAAGCAGAAGGACGATGAGATGATGATGATGATGATGATGATGATGATGATGATGATGATGATGATGATGATGACGATGACGATGATGATGATGATGAGGAGGAGGAGGAGGAGGAGGAGGAGGAAGAGGAGGAGGAGAAGAAAGGGGCGGATGAGGACGGGTCGCCTAAACCATTCGGAAGAATCTTCCCGTGTGATCTCGCTCAGAGGACAAAGCAGCCGACATCTCGAACAGGAACCCCCCAGCGCGAGGAAGTCAGCCACCCGTCCGTCCGTGTAACAGTTGAAAACGTCAGACTTCCAAGCCATAAGCATAGGTCGGGCATGTCCCCCTACAGGCGGGCATTGGAAGAAAAACATAAACATACGCCAAAACATGCTCAAACATATTCAAAGAATTGTCCCAATACTTTTGTTAATTCGCCAGGCGAAGGACCCAACCATGTGCATTTGTGAATACCGTAATTGTGAACGCCACTTCGCCCGCGCCCCCCGCGTGGCCACGAACTGCGCGAGGGCCGCGCCGAAATGCGCGGCGGGGTACACAACGCGAACGAAAACGATAGGTCTGCGCGCGAGAGACTGAGAGCGGGTGAGTCTGAGCGCGAGTGAGTCCGATTGTGAAAGAACCTGCGCGCGCGTGAGTCTACGCGCATGAATGTCGACACCAACGTTGGCGCGCCCCTGGCAGGGGTCGTGCCCGCTTCCTTCCCGTCAGTTTCCTCCCTCTTTGCCCGCGCGCGCAAATGTCCAAGGCCGCGGGCGGCGCCGCGCGGAGCCCCCGCGACGCGCGCCGGTCGCCCCGATGGGGCCCCGGCGACGCGCGCGGGTCCGCTGCGCGGAGCAGGGGGAGCTAGCTGGCTAGCTGGTTGGCTGATAACGGGCAAGGCTCTGGCCGCAGGGAAGACCGACGACGTGGGCGAGCGAGGCGCCGGGCACAGCGCAGCATGGAGTTCCCGCGACGCGCGCCGGTCGCCCCGAGAGGGCCCCAGCGACGCGCGCGGGTCGTCCGCGGCGCAAGGCCAAGCAGTCAAGCCGTCGAAAGACGGCGAGGTTCGGGCGGGCCTCTCCTCAGGTCAAGCCTCGCGGATAAACCCCGTGAAGCCCAGCTCCCTGACGAGGGCCGTCGCCCGTCGCCTCCCTCCAGCACCGATTCGCGCGCGCAGCAAACTGCTCCAGCTGCTTCCGCAAGGCCTCCGGCGGTCCTGCCAAGAAGAACTCGATGCGCGGCGCCCGCGTGAGCAGGTCTTCGCGGCGCGTGGCGCGCAAGAGCAGCGCGTAGAGCTCCAGCCGCCGGTCGTCGTCCTCGTTCTTGCCGCTCCCAACCTCGTGGCGGCCGCAGTCCAGGTTCCCGTCTGGGCGATGTCGGCCGAGGGGGCAGCGCGCCGGACAGCCGACGGCCCAGGGTGAGAGTCCACAGGGCCAGGAGAAGGTCTGGCCGCCGCGCGAACCTTCCCAATGGCGCCTTCGGTGGAGCTCATCTGGGGCCACGATCATCTTGAGCGGTGTACCGAAATGGCCCGAGGCCGCCACGCGAACCCTGCCACTGGCGCCTTTGGTGGAGCTCCCTATGGGGCCACGATCCTCGCGAGGGGTGCCCCGACAGGGGCCGGGGCCTCCATGCGAACCTTGCCACTGACGCCTTCGGTGGAGCTCATGCGGGGCCAAAGCCCTCAGAGTGGGTGTGCCGAAATGGCCCGAGGCCGCCATGCAAACACTGCCAATGACACCTTCGGTGGAGTTCCCTATGGGACCACGATCCTCATAAGAGGTGTGCCAAAATGGCCCGTCGCCGCCACGCAAACCCCACCACTGGCGCCTTCGGCGGAGCTCCCCATGGGGCCACGATCTTCGTGAAGGATGTGCCGAAATGGCCCGAGGCCGCCATGCAAACCCTGCCACTGGCGCCTTCGGTGGAGCTCATGTGGGGCCACGATCCTCGTGAGCGGTGTGCCGAAATGGCCCGAGGCCGCCATGCGAACCCTGCCGCTGGCGCCTTTGGTGGAGCTCCCTGTGGGGCCACGATCCTCGTGAAGGGTGTGCCGACATGGCCCGAGGCCGCCATGCGAACCCTGTCACTGGCGCTTTCGGTGGAGCTCCCTATGGGGCCACGATCCTCGTGAGGGGTGCGCCGCGCCGAAATGACCCGAGGCCGCCGTGCGAACCCTGCCACTGGGGCCTTCGGGGAAGCTCCCTATGGGCCCACGAAATGCTGCACAGGGCGGGTGAGAAGCAGGGAGGAAGGAGGAGGGGGGAGGGGGGGAGGGAGGAAAGAGGAGCGCGGGGACCGTCTCTTCAAAACGAGGACCCAACGCCACAGGATGGTTGGGAACCATTTTTGAATATTCTTCCTGTAGAGGGACACGCCCGACTTAACCATACACAGAGAAGGCGAACCACCCTGCCCGCCCTACGGACACGTCTGGTGGTCAGACGAGATGGACATATCTGCAAGGAGACAGAGGAATGGCGGCGGAGGTGCGCGGTTTCCCCCGGGCCCGCAGGCGACCCGAGGAGGAGGAGGAGGAGGAGGAGGAGGAGGAGGAGGAGGAGGAGGAGGAGGAGGAGGAGGACGGGGGGGAAGAGGAGGAGGAGGAGGAGCAGGTGGATGACGGGGAGGGGGAGGAGGATATGGAGGAGGAGGAGGAGGGGGAGGAGGAGGAGAAGGAGGAGGAGGAGGAACGCACGCACCGAGGAGGGAGGGGACGGAGAGGTCCGATCCATCCACCCATCCACTAGACGGGGGCGGCGCCTGTGGCCGACCGCGCAGAAGCGCAGCTGCCCGTTGTGAACGTGGTGCCGCCGTTCGCAGGCGGGAGTGGATCAAGGCACGACAGCAGACAGGAGGTGGGCGGATGCACGAGCTCGCAACACCTGAAATACATGGTGAGCCAACATCGAGTGCTATACAAGCTCAACGTTGCTTCTAAGTATGCAGGGGCAAGATGAAGGATAAATCACGAGAAAAGGGTCACTACCATATTCATCACTAAGGAACCCCACCTTGCTTTTGAGGAGATCGCAGCTAACAGGACACACAACGCAGCTAACAGGACACACACCATAATGGAGCAACTCGTCACCATCGGATTTCCCACAGCCGAATCGACACGCATGAGGGTGTTCAGCACAGATATTTACACGCAAGCACATATATCCAGCATGCGGTCAGGGGGCTCACCAATACATTTCTTCACCCGTGGTTTAACTATTTCAAAACGCCTCGGAGACGGTTTAGCACGAGGCAGGGTCTTGCTATTGACGGACTGCATGCTCTTGTTAGCAGTGTTGTCGGGGAGCTCGTACACAGCATGAGAAGGAGTGGAACGCTTCGCTCATGGCAACTATGATCGAATCGGTGGCGATCGGTTGCCGCCTCCAGCAAATACGCGTGTTGTCCTCCTCCGCCTCTCTCCTCATCCAATCATCATACTGCTCACACACCTGGCTGCAAGTTGCAGCTCTGATCATACTCGCACGCGCTAGTACGTCACGCCGTCGTGCGCATATTCCGTGGCCAGGCCCGTCGAGAGCAACAGCAACCGCCGGGGGGAAAGAATGCCTCGGTGCACACGTGAGTACTTTATGAAGAGGTACATGAAATTGTGCGACGTGCGAAACGACAGGAAGTGCGTACATGATGTGCCCCGTTTATGCTGACCGAAAGGCCCTGTTTCATGCTCTTCACGCGTAGGCTCCTGGAACGCAAATTGGTCAGAGCGGGTGCCCAACTCCTATCCAGACTTCCTAGCCCCACGCCCACTCCCAGGTACCACTCACGATGAGACACAACAAATTGATGATTCCGAATCCCTGCGTCTCTGCATAGTGGGGCAGCCTCCTCGAGGGTCACCCGATCTGGGAATACCAACTGGCACTTGGAAAGATCGAGGATCAGCCTCGTGGCCATTCCCGTGCGGCACAGGGTCTTGCAAAGCAACGGCAGGG